CCGTCCTCTTGCTAAATCTCTCTAATATTTCCGTTTCAGTCCATTTTTCAATGAACGTCTCTGCTCAGTGGTATGAATGTATTTGATAGTATGAGACACTTTTCATTTCAGTCCATCTTAAACTCGACCCATCTACAAGGGGGTGGCATCAATGTGTTTGCTTCTATACTTCACACTCACTTGGCTGGTAAGTTAACCTTCTAGAGCAACAATCCTTTAGTGTTCTAATGGATTAATTTTTTTTCTTTGGGTCCTTCGTCGCCTTAGGGAGTTTGGTCGAGTGACGAATTTCACATTTTTTGGGGGGAGGGGGTGGGCTTGGGGAGTGCAACTTATTTAACCCTGCTTCCAACGCTTCTGTGCTTTTTGTATAGGAATCTGAGAGCATACAAGCAGAGATAGGGGGCAGCTTTAATGGAAGATAGTGTACTGAAATCATTTACCTGTTTTTTTAGTTCTTGATTAATCTTTGTTCTCCGTTACAGTTTACAGCAATTCACTTTTCTTACTTAATCACTCTTACTTTGATCAAGTCTGTGGGACTCTATTCTAATTCTCACTCACCACTGAATCTAAAGTACATGTTTTCATAGACAATACCTGTAGACCTGAGAAGGCAGCGTGCCAACTGATCTTGGAAGATTGAACATTTGTTAACGAAACACTAACCCAAATATTTTCACAAGGACCTTACGAATGAAAAACAAAACATTCGTAAACATTTCCGGTTAAAGTGTCGTTCTTGAATTCGAAAGCCAAAACAAGAACATACGGGTAGGTCCAAGGCAAGATCGGCAGACAAACCAGATACGTCCATTTATGAAATTAAAGTTAGAGAAGACTGCCAACAACAGGGAACTCGTTGTGATAGCTAAAACCCGAATAACTTCGGACTTGGAATTCATGTCTCAACTTCATGCTGGATATAAGCAAATCACCATATAATAAACAACTAGCACAACATATGAGCCCACCTAAATCGTCTCTCAAGTTTGTTCCCCCTCCAGCTCTCTGAAGCTTAAATGCAGATAATCGGAGGATTCGTCGCTAGAAAATTAGTTCTCCCTTTTTCTTCACGATATTTATGACTACAAACAGATATTTACCACACCGTTATCATTATTATAAAACCGTGTAACGTCAAGTACGTAACTAATGAAGAAGTCTTCTCATGAATACAAACGTTTTCTATCAATAGGTCGAGCTACATGGACTAGACATATTCGAAATGGAAAAGAACTCCCAGAAATTGCGCGTGATGATCATTACGACTTCAATTTCCAGGTAGGGGCACTGCCACGGTTTGTGGATTGAAATCTTACGAACGGGGCGGTACTCTGTGAAATGCAATACCTTTCTCTTCTTTTTATTTCTCGGCCTGAGGCAATCAAAGGAGTGGTTTCGAACATTTCCTGTCGGGGCGACTGCAGGCAGAGAAATCCTAAAATAACTTCTTACTGGTATTTATTGTTATGGTTGTTTTTCCATCATAGATTATAATGGTTTTTTAACAAAAAAGGAAGTCTATGCAAATTGAGAACTCAAGTCTTCCCCTTGTCTTCCACCTACCCCCTCCCTCAAACGCGAGTAACACCCTGGTTGGCAATAATGCCATTTGTTTTTGTTCACAGGACACACAAGTTCTCAGAAAAGAAATCAACATTCAACCAGTGAGTGTACATGTAAAATAATAAAATAATTTGAATATATCAACAAAGTTGAAATGGTAAATTGGCCACCGTTACGAGTATAAAATCTGACGTTTCGAGCGTTAGCCCTTCGTCGGAGCGAATAGGGGAATTATGGGTTGTGTGAGCTTTTAAAGGCAGAAAAAGGAGCAACGTGATTGGTGACTGCCTTTAAAAGCACACACAACCCACAATTCCCCTATTCGCTCCGACGAAGGGCTAACGCTCGAAACGTCAGCTTTTATAATCGTAAGGGTGGCCAATTTACCATTTCAACTTTGTTGATATATTCAAATTATTTCGTTACCCCCACAGACGCAGCCCCAAACAGTTTCTTTAGAAACTATCAGCCTTTATTAAAATAATAAAATAATACTAATGAACTATATTTTCGGAATAATGTTACCAGTATCATCATATGTAAGCCATTAGACCTTGTAAACCAGTGCTTAACATGGCTGATTCTTTTCGGCGATGTTTTTACTTTTAAGGGAGACGAAATGATTAACTATTGCAAATACAGTTCCACGGACAGGGATCAGCTAATTGAGGTAAAAAAAAA